TCTAGAGCAGTTTTAATGGATTTCCTATGGTAAACATTAATTAGAATTTTTACTGACAGGAATTGATTTCCCTGGTCTTCATTTCATCAAGTGATTGCAATACTAGTTCTTAAACATATACTGCAAGGAGAAAATACAAGTGACAACAGCCTTCTTATCTAAATAACTTGCTGTCTATGTTTTCATCTTTTTCCTACACAAAACTATCCCAACTGGGTCAACAGAAGGTTTTTCTATTTTCTCATCCATACTTTTTGAGTACTATACTTGTTTTGATAATATTCTGGGCATTTAACTGCCAGATGATTAAAGTGATGCTAACAATTAGAGTATCAGCCTACTAATTTAGTAGAATGAGCTGAAAAACTACAGGATAAAGACATAATTATTTGAAATGCACAAAAATTCTTCTATCTATATGCTAGTGCAGATTTAAAACATATCACCTTGCTATGCATGCTTTTACATGGATGGCAAAATGACTCATTCATTCCTGCTCAGTAAAGTTAATATTCCAGCAAACAAAAGAGATTAAGGCCGTATGTGAAGAAGGAACTAAATGAGTATCTTGAGTATATTTGGAGTAAAAAGCAAGCAAAAGTGATGTTTCGCTTGGGAAACAAAAAACAAAAAACAAGCAAACAAACAAACAAAAAAGAAAGTCAAATCAGCCTTCTCCGGAGGTAACAGCAATTCAAAACAGATTCTCTTAGTTGAAGCTCAATACCTTTAAACTAACTGATCCTAAGAAAAGACCTTTTCATTACGGATTATCTGTCTCCTTTGCAGAGACATTATTGAAGATTAATGAATTTAATGAAAAGCCCCATGTAAGCATCAAACTAAGAATTCTGATGCTAAAACAGGGCAGCTAACTTCCTTCAGTTCAATCACACTGTTGATTTATGTGTGTAAATCCTAAACATCTTGTTTAATTGGTAACTGCTACATCTGAATAGCTAGTTCATAAAAAGGTTTGGACTACACAAATAAGAAATTTAAAGTAGAGACAATTAGTGATCTGCTGGTGATTTTTAGAGAAGCTGTTGCTACAAAACTGTTTATGACAAACTGTGGAATAACTCTTACTCATTTATATCTATTGCTTATATATTATTTACACATTATATATTTATAACATATATTATTTAATGTTTCTGAGACACTGCACTACTTTTCTTCGAAATTATTTTTTTCCTGTCACAGCCCATATTTTTCTTTTCAGTCAGCTCCAAAACCAAATGGAGATGTTTTTCCTCCAAAGTTACTTATTTTGTTATTACAGTAAGTTCTCATGCAAGGTGACAGCAGGTATCTGGGGGTAAAGGCTGCAGTCTTCCAGCTTCACCCAATAGCACTACTACACCAGAGTTCCACTGTTCCACAGACAAGCTGCACTTCTGCTCAATGGGCTGTTTTATCTTTTGAAAGAGTTTACGTGCACTTAAATTTACTTGAAAAAGAGGATTGTTTCAAAGAGATCTGCCAGTAATGGCAACTGAAATGAAGGTGTTAAAGCAGAAGTCCATACAGCTGTAGACGACTCAGCCTATGGATGGTCCCACCACTAATCAGAAGGGGGTCTGCTGAATGGATGCAGCACACTGATGCATGTTTTTCACAGCGCTTGGTCTAGTGGTTGGCAACCCTGCTTGTGGCAGAGAGGTTAGAACTAGATGATCTTTGAGGTCCCTCCCAAATCAAGCCATTCTGTGATTCTAAATTCCCTGAATTTCAACTTACAAGACTCCAAACACCTTTTCTCATAATTTACTGTTATGGCCTAGCTGTAGACAGCAGAATCCAGGAACAATGATCATACTGATAGTTTGAAATAATGCATCAGTTGTGATTCATTAGAAAGAGGAAAGCCTGACATTATGCTATGTCATAAGAATTACGCAAAATTTATAAAACAAGAATGACTGTATGTAGCTTATACATAAAATCCATATGTAGAGTAATACACACTTAACCAAAGACAATAGTACTGCAGTTATTGTTTCTACCTACTTCAGTTTTTAAATAACAAAACATTTTATCTGCCAAAAGTCAGAAGAAAGAAGGGAGTTCAACAAAGACGTTTCACCCTTAGCTGAACTCTCAAATTTTTCTGGCATCAAGTTATCCTCTTAATTACCTGTGAATTCCCCAAAAGGGTTTAATATTATTTGTTACTAGCCCATAAAATTCACAAAAATCCAGATGTTTGAGGTAATGCTCTATTAACCCTAATCTTCAGAATCAACAGATAATGTTGCATTGATTTCACTAAGTCCAAATGATCTCTTTTTCCCCTTACTCCCTTTCATAGAAATTGAGGATCAGTTACAGTTAGCTTCTGCTGGTCAATGTGATTTTCTCTTTTTTATTCCTCAGTAAGCACTGCAGATACTTGAAAAAATATAGCACTAAAGGCTATACCGTTGCATCAACAGTGCTTAAATGAATCCCATGAGTGAAGCCCAAATAAGACAATAACCATAATCTTGTTCTCACAAGATTTCTATATCTTTTGCAGACACATTTTACCAGTTTTAACTAAAGTGCCACCACAGAGAACAGAAGTATCCAGAGTAACATATCCTAACTAGTTCAGATACTGTATCATAACTTTTAAATAAACATTGTTGTCCACTATAGCAAAAACTACTGAATACGTTCTCTTCAATCCTATCTTCTCCATAGAGCGTATGAGAATAATGAAACCACTTTTACTATTAATCTCTGGGATTGAGTTTTAAATTATTTGCATAGGCTTGTGTAGTTAAATTTCATAGATAAGGTGGATAGAATTTTGATTAAAAAAATGTCTGCAACTCTTGGACTGTGTTTTACACAGGTATATATGAAATACATCAGAGTTAGTACACAGCTGAAAACTACACAGAGATTAGGCAAACACTGGGCAGCAAAAGGGAAAATGTACTTTTATCAGAAGTTTTTAATTCAAAAACTATTTTTTTTCCATCATTTCTACGGCAAACTGGAAAGTAATGTTGCATATTTAAGCTGACCTACATATTTTGAGCATATGTTTGTTATTATTATTATTATTATTATTTAGTTTTTAATCTATTTGAAATAAAGCTAATTAAAAAAAATAATAAAAAAATGTCTTTTTCCCCATATTGTATTAGAAAAATTTTGGAGAGTTTGTACTGAGAAAATTTTCTAAAATTTACTCACATTAAAATATAAATGAATTCTGGTACACTGATTCTGCAGCATTCAAAAAGTCACTATGAAATGCCTTTCTTGGCTCTACCTATAACCTTTAGAAAAAAAATTTCAGTAAACTTATCCTATTATTACGAGTATTTTATAATGACAGTTTAGAACAGTAGAGGGATTTACTATGCACTGGTAGAGACCACAGCATAAGACAGCACAAGGTCCTTCTTGTACAGGGATGCCAAGGATTTTCCTTTGCTCAAAATGGTAATTATGTCATTTATTGTTTTTGTAGCATGCCCACTGACTACATACACATAAAAATTTGTCTTCATATATGAACATACCACATATATCTTTTAAGAATATTCTTACTGACAGTATATTTTTCTGTTTTTCCTTCAAGCAGAAATGTAAAGTAGAATGACACACATTGTATAGTCTCCTATATAACGTATCACACATAAAAACTAATTGGTATAATTCAGTACCAGCTATTAAAATAATTTAAGCGGAATAAGGTTATATTTTGATTCTCGAAACCACTGTGACATGTGGAAATAATTCATGGACTTTTCCTTAAGTGGCCCCTAATGTTTACATTAAGCAGGAGTTCCAACAACATATCCTTCCCAAGTTTCATTATTAACCCCACGCATGATAGAAGAAAATGACAGTATGATGGCCATCTGGTCATAGTCCAGAAAATGTCAGTACTCAAAAGGTTGAAGGGTTAACGCCGTGTGCATATATACGCTCTTGTGCTATATGCTGTGTTTGTGCAATGCTATTCAGAGGCTAAGCCTGTCTCCAACTCATTTTTTTAAATAAAGCCTGCAGTACTTGAACCTGTCTACTTCAAGCCTTGATTAATGTTGTTAACTGCTATTCTCGCTCTCTCCTCGTAGCTGCCAGATGGAATGCTGAAGATTATTCTGCATCACTTAATTGGAGTTTATAATTAAAAAATGGAGAGTGCTGTGGACTACGTTTTGCCCCTTTGATCCCTACCCAGACAAACAAGCTTCTCTAATCAGTAATTCCCCCATGTCCTCTTTTAGAGACTGAGATCATATGCCTCTTATGTCTACGGTATGTATTAATATTACATCATTTGCAAAAGTGTGGAGATAAATTCTAATCATGCATGCTTTTTCCCTTTCAAAAAACTAATGCCACGTATAGAAATAAAATTCTTCATATGGTTTCCCATGCATACCTCCCACCAACATGCAGCAAAACAGTAAGAAAAATAGTAATATATGCTGAATGACACATATTTGCTCCTATACAGCCAACTCCAGGACATGTTTTTCTAGTTCACTTCAGGTCAATGTAAAGAAGTGACTTTCTGCATCATTTTGGAGGACAGCCAAAGGGAGCTAGGGCACCTCTGTTTCTGTTTGTGATAGCGATAAAAATGTAGTTGTATATGCACAGGAAAGAATGCATATGTAGACATAAATTTGCACAGTGATTTTAAATGAACTCCTCCTACATTTTTCTATGTAAGCAATGGCATTGCAGGCAGAAACATTCCACAGAAGGAATGATGCAATGTGAATTCTTCTGAACGTGCAAGTAAAGAGACAAAACAGTTCTAAAAGCCTTCTAGTACAAGTAGGATCTCAAACACAAAAACAAAGCCACTAAACCAGAAACATGCTCATTCCAAAAGAGAGATGAAAATGTTATAGATATTGTCATTGCACTTTAATCCTGCTGTTGCAAAAAGGAGGCTGGACTATAATCCTGAGGTAAGGTAATAAATCACTTATCAAGGAAGGCAAATCAACTACAAAGAACAGAAGAAAAGCCAAACCTACCACAGAAAACTCCTTCCTGTTGCTACCTGAAATTGTTGTGCTGACAGAATGAGTCCAACATGGTGCTAATGCTCAAAGTTGAAACACTTGCATAGAACAGCAGTGGGGAAGAGTCCTGGAGACCTAAGTGGTGAAGAAAACTATGTCATTGTGAGCCACTACAGCCAGTGAAAAAAAATTCTCAGAAATGACAAAACAGGCCACAGAAATACTTACTTCTAAACAGACAGAAACTTTGGTGGTAAGAATTTAACAGCTCATGGAGAATATACAAGACAGTGACAAAGTCAAAGTGGTTACCTAGTCCTGTCTTCCCTCAGATCATAGCTGTTGATGCTTGATTTGTGGACACAGAAAAAAAACCCTCAGGTTTGGCTTTGTTTTCTTAAACTGATCTTTTAAAATGCAATATCCCACCTTGATTTGTTGACTTGTGGCTGTACTGTTCTGATCTATCAAACTCATCCAACAGCAGATCCTGGGAAAGTAACCAAGGTAAAATGAATCCACTGTAACATCAGCTAGTGTACATCACACATAGATTTTTTAAACCAAATATTATATTCTTCAGAAGAAAAGAATAGAAAGTAACTTTTATAAACATAAAAAATCTCAGAAATGAAATTTGGATACATTCTTCAGTGCTAAATGATTAGCTATTTAATTGCTTTACTGAGATAAACTTTTTTCCTTAAGTTTTTTTTTACAAAGTAACTTTGCAATGACTAGATTTTGATGTGATTTCACATCAGTTTAAAATGGTTTAGTACAATGGGATACATCTTTTGTTAAACAGGTTTATGCTTGTTTGTTTGTTTTTATTATCATCTTACTAATTCCTCTCTTTCATAGCTACTTCTATTATTTATGAAAGAGAAATACCTCAGAAGAAGTGAGAGCTGCCCTGTGGAAGCAGGAGCTATGAATGGGCTGAACAACGCTCTACAAACCCAGAAGAAAGTCTAGGGTAATCTCTTGCATACCAGAAGTAATCTTGGTGTCTCTTCAGGTCATGAGGGCTGAAGAAAAAAAAAACGAGCTCATGTATCTTCCACAGTGTCAACAGATGACAAAAACTATTCCAACACTTGTTCCCGCTCCCCCTCCCTAAGAAAAGTAATACAAATATTTCCCTGTGATATACAAACCATTAAGAACCAACCTAATTACCTAGGAGGTAGGTTACAAACCTCATAAACACTGTATCTACAAACTTCTATGAATTGTCCAAAAATAGATGCATCTTTAAACATCTGAGGCCCATAAGTAATCATATTATTCTCATTATATAGGAAAAAAATTCTAAAACGTTGATCATATTTATAGGTTAAAAATAGCATTTTCAAGGAAAGGTATTTAGCTTCCAACTATAATATTTAGTGTTGTTGATGTATAATGATTAGATACTTGAGATACAAGTCTTTATGTGCAATTAGCTTAATCCATAAATTATAATCCATGAAGGTAATAAAAACAGTCATTTTGAAAATCAACTGACAGAGCCCATAATTTTCTGCAGTAACTGTGCTCACTAGCAGCAGCATACAAAAGTCAAAATGGTGGTTGATAAGGAATGCTGCTCTTTACCCATATTAAAACAAATTGTTTGTTAAAAACCCATGTTCATGCTATGTACCATGCTATGGTTTCTTTGCAAAGTACTCCTGGTAACTGACTAAGAAAACCTGCAGAACAATACAGTACCCTATTCTTCCCTTGAACAGAGTTTATGTAAATAGTCAAGATCCTAACTAGAAGCAGATTTCTTTTTCCGAAATTACTATTACTGCAGCATTTTATATTTTTTTCTGAGTAGCTATGATTGGTAGTAAGACTCAGTGCTCAACTACTCTTGGCAAAAACAGAGATTCTTTGTAATTAGGGGTTTCATTCTAATTTAGACCAGAGCTATTATCTATGTTTTTTCTTTTGTAACTTTTCAAGTCAGTAAAATGCAGATTTGTAACAGAAAGAATACAGCAAAAGAGGGCTGGATGCGTGTCTTTCATGTGTATATCATCCACAACTTAAATGAAAATGCTGTGGAGTTTTTGTTTGCCAGGTTTTGTTGTTGTTTTTTAATTGTTTTGTCAGAAGTAAGAACACGCTACAGTACTGCAGTTGTTCCTTCTGAATGACAAAAGTCAAACAACTTAATGAATAGTTAAGTCAAAAAGTCTCTTAGGCTATAATCATGACATACAAAGAAATTGATGTGCCCCTTCGCTTTTCCTACAAAATCAATGGATCTGAGGCACATTACTACCTTCTCCCTCTGGAAGTCATTTATTCAAGTTGTGCCAATGCTTACTAAAGCGCAACATAGAAACAAATGTTTGATTTTAGTATCTTTTAAAAACTCCTTCACAAATTATATACTATAATTTTGTTTTTAAATATAAATGTTAAAATTTAAATTGAATGTTGACAACCAAGTCAGAAAGTTATTAACAATATTATACATCTATGAATGAATTATCTTCATGTACATAGAACTAACTTTCAAATGGGCATGTGCAAAACATAAGACTGTTTCAACTCACACCATTTAGCAAATAAGTTTAGATTGTTCTCGAAATTCACAAAGACAGGATTTCATAGATAACAAATAATGCAGTACAACAATGCCTGATAAGTTTCACAGGTACATGCACAGAAACAAAAAAAAGTTAAAATACTTTGCCGAATTGGGATTAAAGCACATACATGGTAAATTCTACCAAAGTTTCAAAGGAGAGGAGCTGAATGGGAATACTATGTAAACTGTGAGATGTTTAGAGTTGACACTCTTTGTCTCCAATACCTTGGATAGTTAGATTCCAGATTAATTTCAGATGCAATGACATTTTTATGTTGATCTCAAAATCTAAATTTAGCATAACAATTTTTGTCTGACTTATGACCTCATTCATAAGTAACAACAACAGCACTGCAACCCTTGCTGTAGCATGTGGCTATCCGGGGTGGCCTTTTGAAGTTCTACAAAGGGCATGAGAGAACATTCCTAGCAGATGTATAAGAGGTTCTAACTTTAGGAAACTTTTCCAGAAGAGGTGAGAGCAAGAGACTTTTTTTGTCACTTTTTAACTGCTAACAAACACATGTAACCTGTCTGAACTGAACATCTGGCGCATTACCTTGGGATAAAAGTGACACAGAATCAGATTGAAGCAGATGTAGCCACTGACCTGCCAAAGCATTCCTGTTACTCTCAGGTTCCTCAGGCACTACAACAAAAGATGGCACCACCCTCATGGGAGTCCAAAACCCAACATGATTTTAAAAATTCTGGCACCAACATATCTGAGGGAAAAAAGACCAAATAAACAACAAAAAAGCCATTGATAGGTCACAGAGCAGTTACTATTAATTAAATAGTCCTATTGATTACATTACTCTGTCCTCAGTATTTTTTTAACTGCAAAGAATATATTTACTTTCCTAATAATATGAAATGCACAGATCTTTTATTTAAAATCCCTCTGTAAAACCTGTGCATAATTAAAGTTCCTAATTCTTAAATACTCCTTCTGCATAATTACATTAAAAAGTGCTTTTCTTTGCTTTAAGAATTAGAAGAAAATGCTTTTATTTTATTTTTTTTAACTAAACAGGCTGTGATAGAAAACTTTTTGTCTGTGAGAGAGGCTTCCATTGTCTGAAGTAATTTAAATGATATCACTTTTCACAGACTAACAGCAGAACCTTTTGTTTTCTACTTTACTCAGTAGTAGTTTTTAAATGATTATAATGTATAACAGGTACTTTCTACTGCTTGTACCTGTTGTTAAACTGTATTACATAACTACAGAGAAACAAAGAGGCTCATGGCACTACCATACCTATTCTTCACATGAAAATCCAATTCTGTAATGACTACATAAGTTTTTGTAGATCCTTCCAAAGATTATGTATAAGAAATAGTTAAAAGTGCATTTTCCTATTTACAGACATACTTCCTCACATCAGTAAAATATGTATCTTCTGTAAGGAGCCAGGAAAATAACATTGTTATACTCACAGAGAGAATGTGAATGTGAAAATAAAATCAGAAAACATGTGGCTTTTTGCCACATATGATCAGCACTCCCTTTTACTTTTGAGAAATAGTAATTTTAATTAGTGATGGAAATTGTGATATACTAAAAGTCTAGTAGCTGCATTTTAAAACAAAAATATGCTTTATTTTGTTTGTTTGTTTTTTGTTTTTGTTTTAATCCAATGAGTTTGCTAGAAAGAAAGAGAATGGTCACTCTCTTTGCTGTTGATTAAGACTGCCATTTCCTTTCAGCTGGAGAAATTTCAGAAACACACTTCTTCATAAATAAGCTGGCCATCCTACTATGTAACTGACAATAAACAGCAGCACTTCTCACCAACATTCCATAGGGGGGAAAAATATAAATAAATAAATAAATAAATATATATATATATATTTAAAATCATTTTAATAATGTTGAATTTCAGGATAAATACCACAAATGCAAGGAAAGAGTTGAGCACTGCAAAAGGAACTAATAATTGAAAGGTTGTGCTACCATGAGCTTGAAGCAAGAAACAGTCTACAATACAAACATTCACCCTTTGGAGCGTTAACTTCAATACAGTACATGTTTTGCAAGGCAAAAGAAAAATTTTAAGCCCACAGTCTTCTGCTGCAACAATTACTTCCTGCCTCTGCAATTTGTTCATCCTTGTTGCCTCCTATTGCTAAAGAGGAATTTGAATGAAAATATGGTTCTAGGATGAGGGTGGCCAGATTCCTCAAAAGAATCTGAGATAAAGGACAGGAAAAATGCATGAATATACTTGGAGGTTAACACTACCAGAAATTGGCTAATTCCATTTAGTTAGATTGCTGTCATTTGCAGTAAAGCATCTGACTGCACCTATAAAATAACAGGAAAGCAAGACTGGTTGTCAAGACCAGTCAATTAGAATTATGCCTGCCTCTGTAGGTTGCTTGCATAAAAGGCTGAGCCATTTTCACAGATAATCTATTTATAAATCACTGTAATAAAATGGCCAACTTGACGGCAGCTCTGTAGCATTCTTTCACATGTTCCAGTTGTATCCAGGCAACAGAAACATGTTAGTTAGATAAAAGCAGAGGTGAGGA